GGGGCCCGGTTCGCAGCGCAGCGCACTTTCGCACAGGAGAGGAGAGACAGGCAGTGCGCGTTGGTCGAGAGCGGGGACACCCGGCGCTCCATCGCGGCTACGCGTTGAAATGAATGACGTTGGTACAACATAATGTATTTCTGTTAACCCCCCCACCCCACCCACCCACCCACCACCCCTCTCCCCAATCCTTCGTTATGTCTTGTGTCCTCTCACCGTTTGTGATAGCTAGTGTTGTCTGGTGGTGGTGGTGGTCGTCGTTGTGCGGATACAGATCTGTGATGCTCTTGCCTTTTTTTTTGTGGTGACTGGAAATTCATATCCCCCCGCATATAAACATGTCCCCCCCCCCTCTCCTCTACGTCGATCTCCCTCTCTCCTCCATGTTGTATTTTGTGGATTATGCGCATGGATTAATTTAATTCTATACTCATTCGATTCTAGAGGAAAAATGAATCTGATGGTCTTCTTTTCTTCTTTTCTTTTCTTTTTTTTTACCAACAGCCTACTGCTGCGTCAGGTCTTGTTTTCCTATTGTGATCCACTGCCACATCCACAATATGGCAGCTGATAGCCGTGCAGGAATCTCTCTCCACTGAAGTAATTGGGATATTTGTAGCAAATAGCAGGTGCTGAGTGAGAGGTTGCTGCCGATGGAGGACTCTGGAGGATCATTGTAATCTCAGCTGAGCAGTAACCAATAGCAGGCAGGGCTAGGCCTAATAAAGGAGGGCCTCTGTCACTCCAGGTTTCCCCCATTTTAGATGCAGCTAAACTCAGCTCCCATTTCACAGCCCTACAATATTCACATTTCTCCAGTTTGCAACGTTTGTATTGTGGCACCTGTTTTATGCAGCCGGCACATTGTTACGCCTGGTCACTAAACGGTGTCTAATGAGGAAAAAGTATCAGTAAATATGCACATTTCTTACATATGAAATGTCCTCCAAGTGCAAAGGCATGTCAGGGGGGGAGATAAAAAAAGCTCCTTTTCTTCTTCTTTTTTTGACCCCACTTGCAGTTGCATAATCTAATAAAGGATTGGAGGCAGGTGTCATGAATGTTGAATGAATGTCAGAAATAGATATGCTAAAAGCCCATCCCAGAGCCTTCAATGACAGTCCTATAAATAAGGATGGTAGGCTGGCTAGGTTTTTAGAAGATACTGTATGTGTGCTCTCTCACACTCAAAGCTAAGTGCCGAGCATTTTTTTTTTGTGTGTGTGTGTGTCTATAGTTAAGTGGTAAATGTTGTACTGTAGGTGTAGAAATAAGTGATTGGCTACCATTTATTATGGACACGAATAGCTCCATCACATGCTGTAGCATGTGGACTGGTGTGTGTGTGTCTTCATCAACGCATAAACACCCCTCCTGGAGGGGACCCCCACAGGACTGTAAACACAGCATCCTAATATTGCATACTGCAGTGGCTATGGCTCAGGTGGCTAGCGGTGATAACTCAGTGCTAGTTACAAATGTGTATTCACATGTTAGGTTGCACGTGTGTGTGTGTGTGTGTGTGTGTCGGGGGTGGATGTTATCCGTATAGTCCCTCTTTGAATCTGAGTCGTGCACACGTCCCCGAGTGTTCACACATTTGTAATCCCTCCAGGGCAGGTGCCTTCTAATAGAGTACCGTTAAATGCTGTGCAGTCAGAAGTGTCAATGTGTGGATGGTGTGCGCGAGCGAGACCACAGTGTGTGTGTGTGTGTGAGAGGATGTGAATGCATTTCTCACCGGTTTTAGGCAGAGCATCTTTGATTGGCTCCCAGACTCGGGGTATAAGTGTATTACATAACAGGGTTGGCAGACACAGGGAGGACGGACCGCGAGACTCACTCAGTGCGTCGGAGAGAGAAGCCTCTTGCTGGAATACGGCAACCTTGCCACTCGACATCGCAGGCTCGGCTCTTGCGGGAGGACCACCGCCTCGAAACTCTTCCAAAAAAAAAGAGATTTTAACTATCATGATTGTGTGAGCCGGACTTCTCCATGCATACACTCTCTGAGCAGTTTCATGTCACAAACATGGTAAGGCTGGCTAAAGGCGTGTGTGTGTGTGAGTGTGTGTGTGTGTGTGTGTATGTGTGTGTGTTGCTCGGGGATGCTGGAGCTGCTTTTGGTGCAGATGTGCTACGGCTAGAGATAGAGGAGGATGTTGGAATGCAGTGTAGCTGCCGGTGCAGTGAATGCTGATGTGTTGTGCTGCAAAGATGATATAAGCGAGTGAATCCTCTTTCTGTTCTCACATGTTGCCTTGTCAGCCTTGTGCTTGAACGTGAGACCTAGAGCGTTGCCGTATGTCTCCGTGTGTAGGGATAGATTCCACTGCATTCATCTGCGTTGACCCAAATACAGGTTTTGCGGTTTAGAGGCGGCAGTTTTCGCCCTTTGATCTTTGATGTTGTAACTGCGGTGTAACCATCATGATGACACAGGTCCTCGCAGCCGGTATAGGCACGCAGGTAACGAGGAGTTTTGTGGCAAGACTTCCTCTCTGTTTGTGTGTTCACCGTGTGCCATTCGATCAAGCTAGGTGTGAGGTTGTGCTAAGGCTTGGGATTGGGGAGATTGATTATGTAATGCTTTTTAATTTATTCAGACATGTAGAGGGGGGGGGGGGGGGATGAAATGTATTGGAGAGGGCAGTGATGATCTCATTAGGGAGATGGAGGGATGAGGGGAAGGGGAGAAGTGAGCAGGGAGGAACATTGGCCGTGAATGGATCTCCGTCTCTCTCTCTCTCTCTGTCTGTCGGCTGTATTACAGCAGATTGATGGGGATTGGAGAGATTGAGCTGGGAGTGAATGGGGCCGAAAATGGAGTGGACCTGGAGCATGGGGGTTGGAAGCTTGTGGGGGGGGGGGGGGGGGTGGATTAGGGAAAGCAGACACAGTAAGGGAGCGAGAAGCAGGACGGCCCTCAGTGTTTCAGGCAGAGGTCCCGGTGTCAGATGGTGGCGGTCAAAATTTGGTTTCTACTTTTTTTTTTGGACTCTTTGATTTGAATCAAACTCCTTTTGTAAATCTTTTTGAGTGCTATTCATTCATTGGTGCTGTTTCCATGGCAGCGTGACACATGTTTTCTGCGGTGATCCTCCTCTCTTCCTGTAGTGGAGAGCTTTGAGATGTATTGCTACCCCTCCCCCTCCCCCCAGCTCCAAACCCTTACCTGATTGAATCAGGCTTCTCAAGGAGATCTTTGATCTCAGCCCTGCATGCAGAAGCCGACACAGTGTTCCTTTGATGTTTACATTGACATCACATCACATTTTAATATTTAATGACAGAGCGATATTGCAGATGTTCAGTGGTCACACGCACTCCTAAATTTGGAAATATTCCGCTTGCATCCTGAAGTGTCAGTGAAGCATCCTCATCTGTCACCATGACGACGGCTGTTCTCTCCCTTCCCAGGCATGGACATCCCTCCCTGTGTTCACTCCTCTGCCCTGATTGGCTTATATCCCCTGTAGCTGTCTCAGTAAGCCACCAGGGAAGCAGACATGTGTCCACAGGTTGAAGGGGCAACGTAGCTGCTGAGTCTGAGAGCTCGGATCCTCACGGGGGGGTTTGAATACACACACACAGTCTGCCGTCCTGCAAACACTGCATCAGCACCTTAGGTGGGATAGCATATTTGCGCTGGAGTGATCAGGTGCATTTTAAAAAGGTTTTTCCCATCCAGGAATTTCATTTTATAAGAGCCGAAGCAATCTTGAAAGGATGGAAGGAAAAAAGAAAACATTAGCAAGGTCCGTTTAGAAAGCAACAGTGGCTCAATATTAATACGCAGAAGCCTTGAATGCAAGTAAAGAAGTCATTTAACGTCCATCCATATGACATCCCCGTCTCCGGGCCTTTTGATAACTCCTTACCTAGAGCCTGAGCAGCTCCTGTCAGGCTTGGTTAGCGCTGGCTGCTCTGCCCACAGCCCCAGGGACTGGATGCATGGTTAGCTCTGGACTGGAGCATGCTGATGAACACTACTTTGGAGAGAACAATCGGAACAAGCAGTTGTAGCTGTGCCACAGATGCATACAGGGGTTCAACGCACGTGAAGGTAAAAGCGTGGCTGCACGTGTGTTGCGTTGTTTTTTTTTGTTTTTTTTTTGCTCATCTCAAGGCCACCGAGCTCAGCCTCCGCGTGATGGATGGTGAGGCTGTTTAGTAGATGGATGATGTGAGAATCAGGTTCCTCCTCAGCAACGCTGTCCTTTAATGAGAACAACCTTTAGCCTCTCCAGATCCCCTGAAGAATACTGATCACCTGACAGGCCTCCATGTCCTCACACACTATACGCCCGATGCATGCGCACATCAATATTACTCTGCTCGTGTGCATGCGCACCAGTTGCGCAGTTGAAACATTTATTTCAGCGTCGCATCATGTCCACATTAGTTATTCATGATGCCAGAACCAATAGAACAGATTTGATGAGTCATCCTTCCGTGTTGTCAAAGACCGTGCGGCTGATAACAGAACAAGCATGAAGGAAGGGAGATTATCCCTTCACATTTGTTTGCTCCTCAGCATTTATATTACATTAACACATGTAATTATTCTAATGTCATAATGGGCCAATTACCATCGCTGTGTGGAGACTGGTGCTGTGCTTCTGAACACCGTGTTGTTTCTCCACTAATGGCTCTGCCTTTTTTTTTTTGTGTGTGTTGCCGTATTTTGTTGTGTTGTGCTGTGGTCTGTGTCGGCTATTGTGTTGTTCTATTTGCAGTCCCTAAGCTGCCAGTGGGCCCTGGCTTTGAGGGTGTGTATTTGCATCCATTAGTAATCTGAGTGGGCTCAACAACAAGGATTCACACAGATTTAGGCCAAAATGAGGCTGAGCGCTGAATTACAATCACTTTCAAATTAGATTTAAATGCTGTTTTTTTTTTTTGGTCACGTGGATCAATATCCATTGGTGCTCATTGCGCTGTTTCAGTTATGAAAAAAAGCTCAAGATGTCGCCTGTCTTTCCCTCCCCTTTCTCCAGTTGATAAGTGGAGGTTCAATCGTCAACGCTGAGGCGGTATGGGACCATGTGACCATGGCGGACCGGGAGTTGGCGTTTAAGGCCGGTGACGTCATCAAGGTGCTGGACGCCTCCAACAAGGACTGGTGGTGGGGCCAGATTGACGAGGAGGAAGGATGGTTCCCCGCCAGCTTCGTACGGGTGAGTTAGCTGCGGCCGTGGCTGGCCGGCGACCATAGACACAACACACACACACACCCACACACGCACTGAACATATGCACACAAGCTGATAAACACACTGAGGAAGGTGCACGAAACACACACAGATGCACACTGTTGAATAATGCTTTATTTAGAGAACACATAACACTCAGGAGATCTGAGAATAGCTAGCTAAGTGCCTTTATCGGGTGTTCAGGGACAACAAAACAAAGATGCTGATGAGCCCCTTTTTTTTAGTTTGGCATCAACCTCAGTACCTACCCTTGAAACCCACTTAAATTTACATCGTGATTATATCTCACCCATATTTGAGTTCAACTTAACCCAACACAAAGGTCTGATGCAGCTACTGCAGCTTGTTCCACACTTCTCTTACTTATCTTTCTGAAGGAAGAAGTAGCATCCTTGTTGTAGGTGGAGACCCTCTTTCCTCCTCCTTCCTCCCCCCTTCCCCCCTCCCACAGACACTCCTCATGGCCATTCCCACTTGTCCACCCTTCCATATTTCACTCCTGAGAGGGCAGGGCAGACAGGCTGACCGACTGTCAACCAAAAAGTATCTTTCTCTTCTGTCATTCTCTCTCTCCAAGGTGGAACCCCACCCTCCTCAGCCCCAAACAAAACAGGTTTTCTATATCAACCCCATAGCAACTCCACGGTTCCAAAACACCACGTCAAAGGTGCGTTTTTTTTTTCCCCCAACTTCATCTACCCATCCAGCCTGCCCGCCCACCCGCCCCGCTCCAGTCTGTCCACGCAACGTACCCCACGACATTACCCGAAACATTAACGTTCCCGTGACGTTTTCACATCATCCTCAGCGGGGTCGATAGAGAGGCAGAACTGATGAGTCAAAAGTAAAGTAATGTTAAATGTCTCCCTTAGCGGCCTGCACTCAAAATTCTGCAAATGTGTTCACATAGAATCAAATGGATTCTGGAATCATTATTCCGGTTAATATTCATGGAGATTTCTCTTTCAAATATGGATCATTAACTTTTTTCCATTTACTGTTGACTCTGACTATTTCTCAGTCTGTACGCTGCGCTCCATAGTTCTAGCCTGCACTCAGTACTCCACCACCCGTCACTCTGCTTGTCTGTGGCGCTGCATTCCTCATCTTGTGTTTGGCATTCTACCCGTCGGGTTCTTTGATGTTCTCTTGGCAAAAACTGTGTGTCATCAGGTGTTGGCCGCTGGACATCTGAAACCACGCTCACTTGGCCCTTTCTGTGAGCGATAGTGGGAATACACAATGTATGTGGTCCTGTGCGTGTGTGGGTGTCGGTGAGTGCATGCATGTGTGTGGAACATGTGAGTTTGTGTGCGAGTGTACATGCATGCGTATGTGCAGGGGGGGGGGGAGTCACACACAGGGCCAAAGTTGGGCATTGAATATCCTCTGGCCACCACGCTCAGAAGGAGGCTTATTTTAAACTCTGGAGCGTTTGGCAGTTTGTCCCTCACCTTTCAGAAAAGCTGGACCAACAGTCTTACTCACTGTCCAAACGAACCAGAGACCCTCTAAATGAAGCTCTGTGTGTGTGAGATGTGTGTTCACGTGTGTGTCTGTGTGTGTGTGCATTCACGCTCATGAGGTGCAAGTAGTACCACTTTTACAGCAAAGGTTTGTGATATGAATACCTAAATGTGTCTGTTTACTTATACTTTTTTTCCCGTCAGATTTATACTCTGAACACATGACATGGCTGAGCACATTTCTTTTATTCAAGTGCATGTGTGTGTGTGTGTTTGTGTGTGGCTCTGTGTGTGCACTCAGCTGTGGGTAAACCAGGAGGACGTGGGAGGGGAGCCAGCCGAGGGGACCAGCGAGGTGCAGAACGGGCACCTGGACCCGACCAATGACTGCCTGTGTCTGGGCTCGCCCCTCCAGAACCGAGACCAGATGAGAGCCAACGTCATCAACGAGATCATGAGCACGGAGAGACACTACATCAAACACCTCAAGGACATCTGTGAGGTACTAAACACGTGCGCACACGCATACATCCACTGCTGTTCCGGGGCTTTGCTTTTAGTAGCAGAGAGACAATAGGAAAGGTAAATGGAAAGGAGCTGAATGAACTGGAACGCGTGTGAGAAGAAGCAGCCGGTTTGATGCTACAACACTCCCACATTCACACTTTTAGTCAAGACATATTTTTTTTCTGTTGTTATCAAAACAGTCCAAAAATAGTTCTCTCTTATTTCTTTCTTTTTTTTAAATTTTTTTTTTTTTTAGATAAGAAGACACAATTTGTCGATTGTACACAGTGGTGGCAGCAGCGATCTAGTCCACATTCAATTTGTGATTATGATTCATGCCGAAGTGACAGGCTCGACTTCGCACCTAATCAAATTAAACAAGAGCCTTGCCATTTGTTACATTTTTAGCATGGCAAGCCTTTTATAAAGACTCAGAAACATGACACGTCCAAATTTAAATCTAAATCTAAAAACTGGACGGATTATTTATAATCAAACGTTTGAATATGTTTAAAAACTCCAAAATTCTGTGAACTCCTTTTCAATGTACGTTTTCCACCAATAGTGAATTTCACAAGTCTAGTTATGTATACGGAACTGGGTTTGCAAGGCATAGTGTCAATAGATGCATACATGTACAGTACAGCTACAGTGTTTATTATATCAACTTTTGTATCTAACATGGAACGGTTTTTATCTTTGGGAATCTGACAACAGCTAATAATAACTTCTCCTCTGTCCCCGTCTTGATGTTCAAATCAAAAGTGAAGAGGAAGCAGTGCCACATGATAATTAGTTCAAAAGAATCTATGGGAATACAAGATTAATGATGTTATAGTATGTAAATGTGAACTGATATTAAGATTAGGATTTCCAGATATGCACTTTATTATTATATATGATCGAAAAAGACCATCGTTATAATCAAATGACTGTCTGTTTGTCCTACTGCCAACAGTAACAGTACAACCTCCTGTTGAGTGCAGCTGTCTTCCTGCTGATACCGTAAAAAAAACATAATATAGAGACAAATTCCCCAAAATACAAGTGAGTTAAAGTAAGATTGCATAATACTGTTTTTTACATGCGGGGCAGTTATTTCTAAAATGTTGTCTCCAGCACAGCCGTTGCCTCTGTGCTAGATAAATAGAGGTCGACTCTGAATACAGAACACAACACCTGCATAATGACTTTGGGTGGGCAAGATTTTATAGCGCAGATTTTTTTGCTTATCTAACCATCTTTCCTCAACCCTCTGAATACCCTTTGTCTGTAATCCGGGTGAAGCATCATGTTTAAAAATAGCCGCAATAAAGCGTAAATTTCACCTTCTCACCTTCACACTTATCGCCTGTGGAGATTACCCAGCAGGTTCAGATTTAGTACAAACAAGCACGGGCAAGAAAGACTTCTTTGACTTAAAACAGATGTGGACAAGCCAGTCAATGGGTTATTCTTTGAATTAAATGTTAAAATGATACTTTATCATAACTATTTCCAAACTTTGTGTGTCACGTAAGTAAAAGTAAAGGGTTTTAAAATTTAATCAAAACTAAAAACTGATATTTTTTCTTGGTTATTGATGGAACACGCCCTGACTGTAATGGCTAGTCACTTCGGGCTCTATGATTAAAAGAAGCTCCCCATCTCATAATCATAATAATGTATTTTACTCTTGCGCTATCGATCCTTTTCTCAGCTTTTAATTTTGATTATTGGCGTTGAGCTCGACTCTACGAATCCAAAAGTCTTAACGTATGCGTTTGATAAACGGAGAGAGTTCTGGGTGGTGGAGTGTGAAACAGCAAAGATCTACCTCTCACAGCAAACCTTTTTCCCAAAGTGCCGAAGCTTCAGGGCATTTAATTAACCACAAGAATTGGACTGACTGAAATTGAGGCCACAGTTCGACCTGCACTAAATTGTTTTTGACTCTGCAGAAGCTTCGGAGTCGCAGTTCATTTTGATTCAAATGAATTATGTTTAAGCAGTGACTGCAGATGTTTATTACAAAGAATTAGCAAAACTAGTGATGAGAAGTAACAAGCTGTGGCCTGCATCGGGCTTTTTCTTCAGCAGTTTTCTGACCCCGGCACTTAAAACCGCATCGTCTTTGAAAGCCCCGTGGTAGTTGTAACCCGTGTTGTTGTTGCAGGGCTACCTGCGCCAGTGCAGGAAGCGCGTGGACATGTTCAACGATGACCAACTGAGGGTCATCTTTGGGAACATCGAGGACATCTTCCGCTTCCAGATGGGCTTCGTTAGAGACTTGGAGAAACAGTACAACACAGACGACCCCCACCTCTCTGAAATCGGACCGTGCTTTTTAGAACACGTGAGTTCAAATGGGGCTTTTCTCGAGTGTTTCCCTTTTATAACGCACTTCATTTCAACACAGAAAAAAACGGGTTTGAGAAAACTTGATGTCCAGCTGAGAGCAGCCGTAATTGCTCATTATTTTGTTAGGTTTTGTTATCTCAAGATCAGAATTTAATAATCTCGTCATCTGGAGATAACAGTAAAGCTGTGGCTATAATTAAGTCACCAGCAAACAGTTTTTCTCAAGATAATGAGATAATTAAGTCATGATCTCGAAAAAAAAACCAGCTCTAATAAAAATTTTAGCGACCGGAGCTGCTCCTCCACACATCTTGGCACGCTTCTCCCCAGCATGTTTCATTAAAAAGAGGATTTTGTTTCATATTTCCCCCTCTCATCTTGTATCTCTCTCTGCTCTTTTAATCTACAGCAAGATGGTTTTTGGATCTACTCAGAATACTGTAACAACCACTTGGATGCCTGTATGGAGCTGAGCAAGCTGATGAGGGACGGCAGGTACCAGCACTTCTTCGAGGCCTGTCGCCTCCTCCAGCAAATGATTGACATTGCCATAGACGGCTTCTTGCTCACCCCTGTCCAGAAAATCTGCAAATATCCACTCCAATTGGCTGAGCTTCTCAAATACACGGCGCTGGAGCACAGGTACCGTACGCTTTGTCCAAAGTCACGTTTAATCTGGATCTGAACATGTTGCTTTTTGATGCTTTGATGGCATTACCGATGCATCATTGTTGTTCCAGATGCATTGTGTTGCTTTGCAGCCGTTGCAGGTGTTGGGTTTGTTCTACTGAAGCGGTGGTTATCCGTGCATGAAGTGAAACAAATGTTATTTTGCACTGTTTTGCCAGCTTTCTGTGAATGTTGTGTGTGTGGGGGGACATTTCATCAGGGAATCTCAGTTGCATCGAAAATGTATACGACGACACTGCTGCTCACCATCATGTCACATCGTCCTCATTTCAATACACGGCCGTAGGATCATTGCACAGAACGACTGGCTATAAATAGATTGCAGATTAAATATGAATTTGGGCTTTCGCTGGCACACGTACGCGCATCAACATTCCCAACACACACACACAGCGGGCACCGCACAGAAGCACAGTAAACATTTGCAGATACGAGAGCATCCAGATGTGCAAACTCATGTGTGCAAACCCTACAGAAAAAAAAAAATGGCGCGAGTGATTCAGCGTGTCTCAGCCAGCTCCAGGTCATTGACAAAGCACGCGTTCTCAGCCAGAGAGGGAAAGGTGCCAGCTCTGCCTGCCAGATCACAGTGTTTGACTGTTTGGAGCTGTAGAGAATCTGCCTGCTCTCTGTCACACACACACACACACACACAGACAAACAGACACACACCCACAAGCAGGCATTATCTTCCAAAGTGAGGATTGGATCCGTTGCATATCTAAGCCAGAGGGATAAATCCAGCTCAGTTAGCATAGACGCAGTGAGAGTTAACTGTGGATAGAGAAAGTGGCTGATTAGAATTAAATGGAAGTATGTTATTTTCACTGTGTTCCAGCGGACTTACTGCTGCTACTTGAGTTTACAACTCCAGTCCTTAAGTAGGCTACTCTGTATCGTTCACTGCTGCAACATTACATGTCCTTTTATTTATTTATTTTTTAATGGGTGGCCAAACTCCAAGAGCTATAAATGTACCCTTTAACACCCCAGAAGTACTTATGTATACACTGTGTCCGTAGTGATTATCGATACGTGGCAGCAGCACTGGCAGTAATGCGGAACGTCACTCAGCAGATAAACGAGAGGAAGAGGAGGCTGGAGAACATCGACAAGATCGCCCAGTGGCAAGCCTCTGTTCTGGACTGGGAGGTACGTGTATGTGTTCACTGCGGAGCTCTTTTAAAGCAGCTGATGTTGTTTTACTGGCAGAATCTGGTCCAGTCTGCTGAGTCCATCTGCGTAGTCACGGATATTGCCCAGGGACGGAAGAACTTTTACTTCATTTACATCTCACGTGATTTATTCTAATCAGGAGTGACTTTTAAAAGTTAGAATGGTGTAGAGTCTTTGGCGATTAGACCCATTTGTGACGTAGTCATATTTAGGGGGGTATTGATGCCATGGTTAGTACAGGAATAGCCGGATGCTGGATCCTACATATCCCATAATGCAACGTGATAGCATTTTTTGTTAGACTTCCCCTGCCATTAAACCCGGTTAAATCATGGTTTAACTTTAAATCTTGTTGCACCAAACTTTAAAACGAGCTTAAAATCAAGGATTCAATTGAAACCTCTCTTTAAATGTCAGTTTGGTTTTCACTCTAAACCGAGATCAAGTTTAATTCTGTTGCACCGAAACAATAAACTCCAATGTGATCCAGTATCAACTTTAAACTCACGCTTTTAAATGGCTGCCCTCTTGAGATGGATCGAGCAAAATGATCAAGTTCAAGCTCAAAGAGAATGAAAGTTACCACCAGGAACTGTGACGTGGTTATGTAACAGTCTCACATTAATACTGATGTATCTGTATGACCTACATTAGCACACAACTAGAGTGAATAAAGACATCCTTAGTCGACTAACACTCGTAAGATTCTGCAGACGAATCGATTATTTGGTTTAACTAACAGATCTGTAAAACTGAGTTCCTTCACAGAGAATCAAGCAAAAGCAACTCTTAAAATCTTGTTAGCACACAATATAGTAAATAAATAAATCTCAGTCGACTAAGACCTAAACGAAACTAATCGACTAAGATGGGGCAGCCCTACAAAGAGACAATCAGCAAGATGATTGACTATTTCTATATATTTACGATATATATATTTAATGCCTGTCATCGGGCCGGATCCCCCCAAAAACAGACAAACATTTTACGACATGCAGGTTCACCGGAGACTCCTTCAGTCTCCTTTCAACCTGCAGTTGGAGCTGTTATGGAGCTGAACAGGAAGATTAGACGGGCAGTGAAAGAAATGCAGCCGTAACGCCGATACGCCATCTTAAAGCTTCGTAACTAGTAATGTTAGGCCACGTGACTTTTTAGCTAGCTAGCTATTGAGCTAGCTATGAGCCACAGGAGACACTGTACAACTATTCTCACATGCTGAGAGCCACTGACCATGATGAGTAAACTGATCTTTACTGTATGCTGGAACTTGTATCTTTTGGCAGTTGCGTCATAGTGCACGGTTGTGCCTATGAGTGTCTTCTTCATGTCTACATTGTGTGTGTGTGTGTGTGTGTGTGTGTGTCTTTGTATGTAGGGCGATGATATCTTGGACAGGAGCTCGGAGCTCATCTACACTGGGGAGTTGTCATGGATCTATCAGCCCTATGGACGCAGCCAGCAGCGAGTCTTCTTCCTCTTTGATCACCAGCTGGTTCTCTGTAAGAAGGTAGGCTCTCTCTCTCTCTCTCTCTCTCTCTCTCTCTCTCTCTCTCTCTCTC